ATATAACAGATTTTATGGCGTCTTCGAGCTTAACGTGACGCACAAATTGAATTTCACTGTAAAATGGCTGTAATTTAATTGCAATATTATCAAAAAGAACTAAGCCCCGCCTTAAATGTTTTACTGACCAATCCTGTGCTTGAAACCCCAAATCATTTTTTTTGTTTCTGTTGATTTTCAATGAAACTTCTTAAAGGGGTCATATAATGGTACATGCACTTTTACAAGTTGATTGTACTAAAATGTGTGTTGCCAGTGCCTGTACACAACCATCATATAATGATAAAAATCCATCCAGTGTTTTTTTTTAATCTCCTTATGTGTTTTCCCGTCTCAAATCGAGCCGCCTGACTGTGTGACGTCACACGGTCGGACGCCCCTCCCACGATTGTTGATTGACAGCAGCGTTTCAACACAGACCCGCCCTGAGCGAGCGATTGTGGTGTTCTGTTCTTGGGTGTAATAATGAACACTGCAGTCATTTTGATGTTCCTAAATCCGAACCGCTGAAGACGCAGTGGCTGAGTTTTGTTTTCGAAGGGAATATTCCCCACGATCAACGTCAATGCTTTCATGTTTGCGCGAATCATTTCTCACCAGACTGCTTAATAAACAAGGATCAGTATAAAGCTGGTTTTGCTAAGAAGCTGCTCCTGAAAAAAGAATCGGTACCAACTATTCGTGTTCCTGCTGCACCTCCAGAAGAAGTGAGTGTAAAGTTTTATTAACCTTTATATTAATCTTTGCAAATCGCTTGCACGCTTCACGATGAATGCGGCTAAGGTTTACACTCAGGGTACATTACGGCATGTTTTCTATGTACGACGTTCTCAATATAATTCATAATCCCACGTTTATAATGAACAACGCGTTATGGTTATTGTGTTATTACATACTGCGTACGCAGGTGTTAAAGTTAACATGGTAACACTACACTAAGCTTACTTTTGTAGATGGTTTATAACGGTGTCTGTTACTGATTAAGAAGTAATGTCAAAAAATCTAATTGATACGGTTGCACAGATGCGTCCTCACTCCTCAGAGACTCCCGCTGCCATTCTTTCTCCAAAATATACCCTCAACTGTTGTCAAGGCAACACTCCACGTGTGTTGTGTCAAAACGCCCCATAGAACAGAGGGGCGGGGTGACTGAAGCTCATTATCATTTAAAGACACATGCACTTAAATGGCGTGCTGAAAACAGAGCTGTTTTTGACCAGGTAAAATGACTGTTTTCTTACAATACTAATGAGAATTTTTCATTAAAGTATATTACAAACTTTTAATTTAGACCCTAAAGAATCATATTAACTTGTATAAAAATGGCATATGACCCCTTTAAATCTTGACATTGAATGACCTGTAGTGATGGGAGAAACAATTATTTACAAAACTTTGAATCAACTGAACCAATTGCTTCCCAAAATAAGTCACTGTTTCGAAGTGCCTTTTACAAAGCAATTTCAAATGTTTTATTGAAGGTGTGATCTATTAAATGCAATAACAACTTATCTGATACTATTAAATATGAAGTGTCTTGTTGTAGGGCTTGTTTTGTTTATTTTATGGAGAACTTGGTTAATCAGACCAATCAGAAACTCTTCCTTTTTATCATACAAATGTGTCATTAAATGTCTACAAATTTATAAATTTGATTCTGAGATCAGGTAAAAAAAACATACAGACACAGGTTTATGGGTTCAATTTCAAACCATTGAAATTTCGAAGAAATTCAAAACAGTTATGGCGTAACGAAGCCTCGTTTACTGAAATACCTTGACTTTGGTAGTTTGATGCGTGCTCCTAATCACTGGTTTGAAACAAATGATTCACAAAGGTTTCGAAGCTTCACAAAGGGTGTTTCGTAAGCGTCCATCACCAATGACCTGTACATACAAAAAAAAAAAAAAAAAAAAAAAAACTTAGCTAAGCTGCTAATTCAAGACATGATTTAAAAAAATAACATTAGAAAGAATTAAAGTTCCTTAAAGTGGTAAATAAAGTGTGCTCATAAAGTGGTAAAAATTGAATGGATATTACTCGTACGTGAGCTGGAATGAAGTGTGACATTGCAAGCATTTCATTTGCCATTTGTCTTGAAAGAAATTGTTAAATGAAGCAGAAGTGTGATTAAAAACTGCAGAGACTGCAAATCAGAATCGAGGCAGTTGGCTGAAAGGAGAGACGCTTAACATGAACGCAATTACAAGTGACAACTTTAAGTTAAAAAGAACAGTTCCTAACATTTCTACAATGCATTCACTACACTGTATGCCCTAATAAGTTAGCAGAACTCAAAAATAAATGAGGTGATCAGTTGTAGATATTGATTTTCTCCTTCACAAGAATGTTAATTGCTAACTTGATATATTGAGCAATATAATACAATAATTTGACTGTAGTGATCTCTTTAGCTACTCTGGCCTCTACGTTGACCTGAATCAATACCTGAAGTCTACTTTGAATTACTATCTTATCTATCTACTAAATTATTATCATTAATTTTCCTTGAAACAAATGTAGGATATTAATTTGGAAATGAGGGCTGAAGCAGATTCATTTACAGGGGGTGGGGAGGTCATTTCTGTCAAATTCAACTTAAAATTGTCTAAACACACAGATTGTCCATCAACAGAAACTGGAAAAGAGAAAAAGCTTGTCTATAACCATAGACAGTAAAAGAAATGGACAGAGCGATCTCATTGGAACTCAGTTGAGACAGTTGAAGCCCACTTTTAGCGATTTTTGAGAACTTCCGTTCCTGACGCGCAGACTCAGACCGACTCAAACTAAGCTTGATGACGTGAGCAACCTGTCTGACAGACGTTAATCTTCTAGTAGCTGTGCGTGAAAACTGCCAACGTTAATCTTGCAGAGACGGGGAACTTGAGCAAAGAGTCCTTTATCGTGAGTGAGCAGGAGTAAGTATTCCGTTGCTTTTATGGACTCATTATCTATGGGCTTCTCCCTTGACGGGACGTCCCCCCGATTGCCTGCGAGCTTCTCCTCCTGTCTGTACGGTAATTTCTGTACAGCGCGACAGAGAGTCGAGTGGTTATGACGCAATCGTTAGCCTATTTTTACTAAATCTGTTTCTACGGGGCCATAGTGTAACATAGAAGGTAATGGAGCCCTTTATACATTGTCGTGTTTCTTTAGAAATAAATAATGGACAAATGGAGTCTTTAAACGCCTCAGATGTAAAGTTATTCGCTGTCAAAGTGACGCAAAAATGAATGGGTGTCAATGGAAATGCTAACGCAAGTGAAGTTCTGCTACAACATGGCGGCACCCGGCCGGCTTCAACTTCCGGTCGATGGATTACCCCCTTGTCTATAACATAGCACACTGCAACAGGTGCTAAGTCAGAGGAGGCGGAGCTTAGCAAAGAAGGCGGAGCTTAGCAAAGGGTCATTTAGGTATTTTTGGATAATACCAGCCATTTTACAGATTGTAAAACAATAGCAAATAGCAAAGATTTGTATTGTCTAAGAATTTGCTTGTATTAAGTGCAGTCAGAAGTGTGGTTGTTCAAAATCAGGCTGAAAATTGATTGTGATCTGCCCATAGATGGTAAACCTTAAAGGGATACTTTTTACAACTCCCCCAGAGTTAAACTGTTGAGTTTTACCGTTTTTGAATCCATTCAGCCGATCTCCGGTTCTGGCGGTACCACTTTTAGCATAGCTTAGCATACATCATTGAAGTGGACAAGACCATTAGCATTTCTAAAAAAAAAATGACCAAAGAGTTTCGACATTTTTACTATTTAAAACTTGACTCTTCTGTAGTTACATGCACTAAGACCGACGGAAAATGTAAAGTTGCGATTTTCTAGGCTGATATGGCTAGGAACTATACTCTCATTCCTGCGTAATAAATAGTCTGGTAATAATCAAGAAACTTTACTGCCGTAACGTTACCATGAAAGCAGCAGGCGTAATGATATGACGCAGCGCCTGAAAATAGTTCCGTTGTGTTGACGGAAGGTAGCCTATTTTCAGGCGCTGCGTTTTTTTTACGCCTGCATAATAGGAAAAATATCGAAACTTTTTGGTCATTTTTTTTTTTAGAAATGCTAATGGTCTTGTCCACTTCAATGATGTATGCTAAGCTATGCTAAAAGTGGTACCGCCAGAACCGGAGATCGGCTGAATGGATTCAAAAACGGTAAAACTCAACAGTTTAACTCTGGGGGAGTTGTAAAATGAGCCTATTTCCAAAAAAAAGTGGAGTATCCCTTTAAGACCAATAAAACAAACTGAAGCTGGAATGTTTATTTATAATCTTGTCAATCCCTCTCTTCCTCTGATCTTGCTTCTCTATGCAGCAAGAAAGAACATTAATTCCAAAAATAGCCGAACAAAGTTTTAGATGAAAGCTGTTACTGATGCAAATAAGACAAGAGAGAAGATTGTGACATCAAATGTGGTGCTCTGTCAAGTCACACTCAAAAATACACAAGACGTGTGTCGCCTCAAACAAATCTAAAATTATCTTTCCACTACAAGATTCCAGTCTATGTGGTTCTAATGTGGTTTTGCTTCAGGTTCCAGATTTTACAGACAATCAAAAGCTGTCCTTAAAGATTAAAAACTGAAATTAATGTATATTACCATAAACTGCATAAACTCAACTATATGCAAAAACAGAAACAGAAAGAGAGGGACTGACAAAAAAACAGTCAAATAAAAAAGCAAAAGCGTGAAAATCGGAATTGAATGCCAACTCATATTATCCATTATACCTTGCTTTGATCATAATTTCCAAGGCAACCTGTTCATGTTGGAATCTGAATAATTGGCTGCTTCTGCCTTAACAAATGATTCTGCACAAAAATACGATTGAGTTTGGTTAGATGCACCATATTTACATCCAGTTCTGGACTGTTCAAGCGGAGTTGAGGCCAAAAATATGACCATCCGTGGCTATCAATTTGAGGAGCGACACTGACATCTAACGGTAGAGAAGTGAATTACACACTGCCCTCACTGTCGTGAAATTACGGATGTCTACGTCTTCTGTTTTGCCCACAGTTGAAAGGTCGATTTGAAGATGGCAGAGTCGTTGATTTGTAACAACACACAAAGCAGGTAAAAACGTGGGTGTTATATTACTAACATGAATATTAACTAGGCCTGTATTTATTTTGAAAACACATAGGCTACTATAATAACGCAGTAGGAACAGTGTAAATGAGGTTTCTGTCACACAGGGTGAGTTCTGTGCTAAACAGAGATGTGAAACAGTTCGGAAAGAAGTTCATGTTTGATTCCAATGAGGAGACGTGCTGGAATTCTGACCAGGTGATTTTGCCGAGATGATGCGACGCCTCGTGTTGCTTAACAATTGTGGTTGTCTCGTCCTTTTAACCCGTTTTACTATCTTTTTTTTTTAATAGGGTGAATCTCAGTGGGTAGTCTTTGAGTTTCCACAGCCTGTGAAAGTATCAGAGCTCATACTGCAGTTCCAAGGAGGGTTTTCAGGAAAATCTTGTAAATTAAAAGGTCAGTCATCATAAACAACAGCTTTAAGCGGTAACATTTGACAGAATGACCTACCATGAGCTCCGAAGATGTTATAAGCAATGGTAACCCATTCACTTTCTTGTGATTGACGTTGTTTTGAACAATAGTGTTTTCTACCGAAGTCCTTTGCAAATATTTTTATGAACTTAGTTTGTATTTTATTTGCTATTTTTGTTTTATTTTGACTAATCGAAAATTTAATACAGGTTAAAGCTGCAGTCCGTAGCTTTTTGGGGGGTTAAAAATGATCCAAAATACATAACCAGCCAGTGTTCAACGCTATCTGCTCGCCTTAGCTCGATTCAAAACGGTAAGCTTGTAATAATGTTTTTAATTCCAGTGGTACTGGTGGATTTCCGCGGGAGATTCGAGCATGTCTTTGCGTCATTACGTCACATCTGTACACATAAAGGAGGAGTCTCGGCTGGAAGGCTATATTGCGTGTGAGGATGTTGGAGGTGGAGATTTAGCCTTTTCTCACAGCACTTGATATAATTAAACTTATCAATTTGATGGCGGATCCAAAGGTTCAAACGACAATCACCAGTGACAACTAGATTCACCCGTTGTAAAATGCAAAAAACTTCGTTCGGACTTCGGAGTGGCTAACTTACAGAAAAAAGAGACTGCAACCGGGCCCATGCGAAAACAAGGATACATAGGAAGGACATTACATGTAGTCACACAACAATGCTGACGTTGTTAACATTAACAAGTTGAGAACAAAGTATAATTTGCACGGTTTTCCGTGATAAACGATTTTTAGATTTAATCAGCGCGATTTACTGCAATGTCAGAACCAGAACAAAAGTGGATGTTACTTACTTGTTCTGTTTGTTCTGTTGACATTTTCCGGTGAAAATGATTGTTATTCATACTTCCAAAAATAATAATCTGTGATTCTGAATGCCAGTATCCACACCGGCGCGGTGATTGACAGCTGCACAGTCTCCTCAATGTGTTCATCCGCACTGTGCGGTGTCGAACTACAACTCACATAAAGTTGATAATTCCGCGAACAGAGATGGCGACAAAGAGGGAAAAATGCGGACTGCAGCTTTAATGAAACGGAATCGATCGTCTTTTGTAAAATGGTTTCTCGGACAAGAAAAAATTTGTCTTTGGTCTGTAACTATCTTGGATTTAATATGGTTCTGTGTTAAGCCTTCCATGCCAGTTTTTCATTGAAAATTTACTGTTTGTGCTATTTTGGCGTAATCATATTTTGCAATTAATAATAATAAATAAATAAACAAGAGAAAATGTAAGGAGAACATTGATTGGATCGTTTTTGTTCGTGAAGTGGATGACAGCGTGTACTGAATCATTCAAAAATGCTGTTTCAGTCTCATAACAAGTGACAGCCTTAATGTGTGAGCCATTGAATCATTTATTCAACTGATTCCTTGATAAACTTTACTACATTCACATGGAAAAAACAGTTCTTTATAATACCATTTATATATAAATTCAGTAACATAGCACTCTTGCTTGTGATTTTTGCTTGCATTTCAAAAAGGCACGTACTGTATTTTGTTGGTATATTCGTAAATATTCTCATCTTGAATGTGCACCTTGAATATTATGAAAGTTTTTGGTAAACGAAGAAACCACTTACAACATCACTTAAAGTGTCACTGTTGTGCTCTATTACGAGTGTACTAAAGATTAAGTCACACAAATAGGCCTTATACAGTTGTGTTCATATGAGTTAGAGCCATTAAAATGCTTCCTCTTCTACAGGTTCTGCCAAAGAAGAGGACCTCGAACATATTTTAGACTTCTATCCAGAGGACAACAACTGTCTACAAATATCCTTCCATGTGGTGCAGTTTTATTCTTCAGCACCTTCTATTTTTTGCTTCCACTTATAAATGCATTTAATCACCATATTCTCTCAGATTGACTATCATGTAAACTCCACCAGAATTAGTGGACATTTCCGGTGCCTTCTACACCTTTTGTTTTCTGTCCATTCCAAGCCAATGGCCAAATTGCTCATGTCTTCATTTTATCCCAAGCTAATCAAATCCTTGATTCTTCACCCACAGTTTTCCCATTCAAGATGCCCCTTTGGTGCAGAGGCTGAAAATAGTGTTTGAAAACAGTGCTGACTTTTTTGGAAGAATAATTGTTTACACATTGGATATCCTGGGGGAAAAGGTTTTGTAATGTTTTGAGAAAAGGACAGAGAGGAAGTATGAAGAGGCGGGAATGCCAACCAGCTTTTCCCCTTTGTTTTCACCTCTGGATGTGGAGTTTATTCCCACCTACTCACAGGGAAAGCATCAACTGATGTTACTTTAGATCACATCTAATTTCTACAGAGGTTCTACAGATTATTCACGTGCCTTTTTAGGTCAACACACATGAACTGCATGTTTGTAAAAGAGTTTTTTAATTAAAAAAAAGTAGAAAAACAGATTGTTCTTTCTTTCATGTCAAAATAAAGCTATACAGTATGGAGGATTATTGTAAAGTCTTCAAAGAGCAGTCCTTTGCTTCATGTGTTCTCCGACACTGAAACTGGTCCCCGAAACAGCTTCAAAATGTGATCTTCAAGACTTTTTTGCACTGCAGATGAGTTGGTAGACTCGTCAGTTATTAGTTAATAAAATAAACTGGATTATTTGCATTTCAGTATACTGTAAGGAAAGACTTGCCTTTTTTGTGGCCCAATGCAACAGCAAGGGCAACAGGACTGTATCCAGAGTCTGCCTCGAACGTGATATCTGCCCCACATCCTAAACACAAACTTACTTCAGTTTGTCATCACAAATAACAAAACAAAATGTGTGAATATTTTGAAAAGACTTACTTAGGAGAGCTTCAACACATTTAATGTGATTACCACGAACTGCATAGAGAAGAGGGGTCCCACCATTCTGTGTTTGAAATTGAAAGCATGATTATGAGGTGTACATTTTCTACAGTAATTAATGTTTGTGTAAAATGTTTCAATAGTTTTTGTAAAACGTTGTAAAAAAAAATATATATATATATATATCAACATAATTAAATTGTTCATACCCAGTCATAGGAATCAATCTCAATGTCATGTTGTAGGAGAATATTAACAATATCTGCAAATCCTCCTGCGCTGGCCAAAGACAGGGCACTTTCTCGTTCCCGAGCTAGTGTTCTCGGATCTGCTCCCTAATGTAATGTAATATAATATCATATAATAATATATTGCCCAGTCTCAGTGGCTAAAAAAATGTGTCTTTCTCACCTTCTGAAGGAGAAACTCTACCACCATTATCTCTCCAAATGCAGCAGCCCACATTAGTGGTGTGAAACCTCGCTCATCTTGACTGTTAAGCAGAGAGCTGTCTGCAAGATTACCCATATATGTTGTTCATTTATTTCAGCAAGCGTTGGATAACTATATATTATTTATTTATGGGTACCTTTGGATAAATGTATCTCCAGTTGTGAAATCTCTCCATGGGCTGCCAGCTGATGAATTGAGAGGTCTACAAAGCATAATTAAAACTCACAATTATGTTAAAAAAGGCTGCATTTCGTGCATTTGGAAGGAGGTGAAAGACTCACTATCTAAAGTGGCCGGTCGGACTGTGACCTCATTCCCACGCTGTTTATTCGTCAGAGTGGTCGAGTGGTTCTCGTCAAGTCTGTTTTCCATAATCACTGATCATTACACCTGCTTTAAAATGTACGCAATTTCGAAAATAAACAATGTTAGCACAAATTACTATGTAGCCTATATTTTTTAATACTAATATGAAATAATAAAATGTGTCTTAGGAGTATCTTACCTTCGATTCCTTACACTTTATGAGCAAATACTTTGATCATAAACTTCACAGGCTTGTAAGATCACATAACGTTATGCTGCGTCTGTTTCCTGATTCGTTTGCAAAAGTGAAACTGAAATAGGAGACTTGCATGTGCATTGAACTCAACACAAACCGCACACTAATGAATCACATCGTATCAAGTACTTTTCTCATCATATATATTGTACTTTTTGCTGCAAACTTAATCGCATCCTTCTAAACAATTAGAGTTGGAAGTGTAGCTGTAAGTTGTTTTCGTGAACGATTCTGTGGTTTTGAACGAATCTTTAAAGAATCGTTCTAGTTCACTTTCATTCACTGACTCTTTTAAGCGCGTGACTTGCTTTCTTGCCTTCAAAGACTGACTACAGTTGGAGCCAATAGCATTCGAGTGCGGGCTGGGGAGAAGCATTTCATTGGTTGGATCAATTAAATCAATACGCCCCCTTCACTGCGTTTTGATTCGGCTTATGAATAGGAATATGTACAGTGACTTATAATAATAACCCACTATTAAAATAGCTTAAGAACATTATTGAAACATATGTTTGTTTGCTTGTCTTTTTCAAGAGCTTAAAATAGTCAGCCCAGCAGCTGCAAATCGTCTTTTTGTATTTTGTGGGGTAAACGCTTATGATGCTTGGTTATATACTCTTTCTGAGATCTAGAGTTGAAAAACTATTACAATAAGACTTATTTCAGTCATGAGCGACTCGGTATTTTTAACAAATCGTTCAATGACTCCCTCAATGTGTTAATCTGCAGAAAGGGCAACTGAACGATTCCGTGAATGAATCTTTTTGCTGAGTCAATTCAGAAGATTCGAACTAGTGGCTAGGAACTCGTTATTGGGCTGGTGTTCCTACGGATGATGTTTTGGGAGCACAATCGTAGGAATACAGCAGCGGCGCATTGATAATTCAGAAGGAAGTTTAAGTCATACATTGATAAAAATGGAGGATCAAGAAATGCAATTAAAAGTAAAAAGAGGTATCCTGGCTAGATTCAGAATTCGTGTGCATGTTGATTCATGTTTCATAACTTTTCATTTACATAACACAGATTATTAGACGCCTTTTATGTGTTTGTCGTCAGAAGTCTGGTTTGTTATGATCCTATTGAAGGGATGCTGATGCCTTGTTTTCTTTATTTCTTCTACAGTGACTGATAAATTCACAGAGAGTATGTATGTGTTGGCCAATGAACCGTCTATAGCGCTTTATAGGTTACAGGAGCACGTCAGGAGATCTCTACCAGAGCTCGTGCAACACAAGGTGCGTTTCATTGATATTGCTCAGCCTATATCCAGTCAGTGCTGGGTAGATTTACAAATTGTTGTCCAATACTGAATGCAAATTACATGATAAAAACTGTAGTTGCATTACACATTTTAGGTAATGTAATCTGATTACTTTTAGATTATTTTTAGCCTAACTTGTTTATAAAATTTAAATGAATAGTATAATCTTGTTACATTATAACATAAAATAATACATTACGTCAGGGTCTCCCTAACTAGTGTTTGGGAAGGAACTGCATGGGGTTCATACATTTATAAAAAGCTAATAATTAATTAAATAATGAAAAAAAGAAGAAGAAATAAATAAGCAGCCCTTAATTTTCTGTGTAATTATAGTCACCTGGCTAGTGGCTGGTCTGTGTGTGCAATTTCACAAAACTTTTGAAAAAAAGGAAAATTATACTATATATATATATATATATATATATATATATATATATATATATACACACACAACCTAATTTGTGTTTTAAGCAACTATTGTTGTGTACTTTTGTTTTATTTATTGGCTTGTATTTATACTTGTATTTCTTGTAGAGCTTTGTGTATGAGAAAAGTATATTATAAATAAAATGTATAAAATAAAGAATAAAATATTAATATTTTGTCTGCCATCTACATTATTTAACACTTAAACACATGTATGTCCTAAGCTGTCTTTAGTGTTGTAATGAATTATGAATTTGTAGACAGACATGCAGAGCTGGGAGGAGCAGAGTCAGGGAGCAATCTACACTGTTGAATATGCATGCAGGTAAGATTTGCATTACATAAACAGACAAATTGATTATTCATATTATGTACATACTTCATGGCTGTTTTCCTTTCAGTGCGGTTAAAAGCATGACAAACAGTAGCCTCTATTTCAAGAACATAGATGGTCTTCTGCGCCAAGCCATTTCACTGAAGGAACAGATGAGCAGCTCGCAGGGACGGAGGTTGTACTCACTATCCATTTTAAGCCATTGCAATTAAACGCATTCACTATTATTCTTTTCCCTTTTTTGTGTAGTTTTATATATCACTTGTTAAATGTGACATTTTCATGCTTTCATTTTTCTTTGCTTGATTGTTTCACTTTTAAGTTGCTCACTTTTTCTGTTTTTAAACATGCATGTGGCTTCAGTGCTGTGAAACCTGAAATTAATCCAAACGATACACCCACACACACTTCAGTCACACCACCTTGACTCATGGAAATCTTTCTCCAAGGTTAGTTTTGCTTCATTTTTGTGTCTTTCTACATCAGTGTTAATAGTAATTTGGTGGTTTATATACGAAATTGTTAAAAGATCAGAAACCTCTTCATTGTTTTTCCAGATTTATTATGACGCATTTTAAATGCCAATTCAAATCGGCTTCTCCCACATATTTAATTTATTATGTGGTAATATGTCATTTTTCATCGCATCTTAATTTTTATAGTTGTATTTTTCTATAGCAAATCATGTTTACTGTAGCGCATTGAATAAACAATTGTATTTTAAGCGAAAGTAAAAGAAAACATTCATTATCCAATTACAGCTACACAAATTCAAGTACACAAAGTATTTCAGTAGTAATTTCACAATATTATTTAAAAATCTGTTAGTGTGATTTCTAACACCTGTAAGGTGATATTAGGTGCACAAAAATGTTTTTTTTTTTTTTTACATATTTTGCTTTAAATGTCACAAATAATTTGGCCGCCTTCTAAGACAATAATGTATAGACATGCAGCATTATATATATATAGTGCACATCTTGACACAAAAGTGGATGTGATACTATTCATACTAAAGTTGAATCCTTGACCGTGGCTTTGCGAGCTATTATAGATCTCATCTCGCTGTTGACGCCGTTCCAGGGTTTTGCCTGAGTGTGAAACCGGCCAGACTCTGTTGAAAAGGTCCGGTGTGTCTGTCCACTCCCACCGCCGCTGTAGCTGTCCTTATCGCTAGAGTGAACGTGAGGCCCGTTGGATGGCGAGTACAGCGATTTAGGATCGATGTGAGCGGGGTTGATGTAATGTCTATGCAGGTTGGCTAAGCTGTGTTGCCTCATTGGCTTTTCCGTAATGCTTAGGTTCGAAGTATGGATTCCTGGGCTGTTTTCAGGGTAGTTGTGGTACATGGTGTGGGTATGTTCGCTGCGGAAGGATTTGGCTGTATGTGCGCCCCGTATTAGGGAGTGAATAACGATAAGTAGCAGAACGAGAACACCAGAGGAGAGCACACACACACTGGCTATGCCAGTCTCGACTTCAAACGCCAATATCATGTAAATAGACATGGCTGTGAAGAAGAAAAAAAAAGAAGATATATTAATGTCAAATCACTTCTGAATGATGAATATAAACTAATGTATTGTTTTTGCTTTACAGGAAAAAAACTTTGGATTCTGGCATGCTTAAGGATGGAGAAAAGCACAGCTCTGGGATATAAACTTGATCACTGATGAAGAACTGGATGAAACCATATGTCATATTCAGTTGGTGCCACCACGTCATATTGATGATGATTGCTACTCTAAAGTATGAAAGGCCATTTATACCTCAGTTAAAAAATAAAAAAGTTAATTCTGAGTTTAAATATGAAACAAAGTCACATTGTGAGATGTAAAGTCACAGTTGGGAAATATAAAGCTGCAACTGCAAGAAAAAAAAAGGGCAAAATCCGAGATTTAATGTACCAGTGTAACATGAGGTCACAATTGCGAAATTTAAAGTTACATTGTAAGATGTAAAGTCACAATTGAGAGCTATAAAGTTTATAAAGGAAAATATTGCAATTGCGAGATTTAATTTGGCATTGTAACATATAAAGTCACATTATGAGATTTAAAGTCACAATTAAGAAATTTAAAGTCACTTTGTGAGATGTAAAGTCACAGTTGGGAAATATAAAAAGTTGCAACTGTGAAGAAAATATCACAGTTTTATGAGATTTAATGCCACATTGCGACATATAAGTCACAGTTGCAATCGCAGTTACCAATATTTTATTTACTCTTAGGTGGAAATGGGCTTCCATACTAAAGAGCCAAAAAAGAAAAGACAAAAACGACATCTTTTTGTATAAAAGATGTAAGGATCGGCATATATTCATAAGCTGCTTTGGGGGATATTTTGCACTATAATTCTACTTGTTCTAACTATGTTCTGTAAATGTGTGTATTCTGAATCTGATAATTAAAGTTTTTAGTATAACTCATGTCTGACTTTCCTCTGGTTTTTCATGTCCACTTACCAGCTAAGTAAACTGAAACTCCAAGGCAAAACAGCCCAATGTTCACATGCCGGACAGCCCTGCTATCCGATAAAAACCAGTCGGCCCTTGGAATATAAGCAAAAAACAAAATAGATCACTTCTAGTTGTGTGGACTAGTAGCAGGGCCTCAATTTGCAAAACAAATAGACAGATATCAGTGACCTGCTAGAATACATAAAGCAACCATTCATGCTGCTCTATACTTTGAATTGGAAGTCATTTAAAATGTTTAAACCTAGTATAGGCTATATCTTGGAAAAAGGTTCTGGAGCTCAATATGAAATACAAAGGTCCAGTAGACCTAAATGGCAATTATGTTTGATATACAATGGCCCCAAAAGTGTTTGGACACCTGATCCACAAATAAGTTGAACTAATGAACTAATTTCAATGACTTTCAAGGTGATTTTTAGTAGATGTATGAAGTAAATTTACCTTATGTTCACTCAGGTGTGATTCATCGCATGTACTATGGAAATGTTCCACTAAAGTTAGACAACCACAAATGATTTTCATTTTCAGATGCTTTTTGTGTATCGTAAAAATTTTAGACCTAACAAACTCTTTTGGGGGGGCATTGTTTTGCTTGAAAAGTGAGCTTGTACTATCGTTCTTCCGAATAAATGTCACTCACTTTGGTCGACATTCTGTAACTATACAAGTACGTTTCTCCATTACCTTTGTGTATCTTGTTCTCCTCGGCATATTTCAGTGGCGAAATAGCTGTGAAGCAAACACACAACAACTGAGCTCAAGTTGAGTGTCAGAGACAAAGCTGAGAGGACCGTAGAAACGGGCAATAACACCGCTGTGATCTCACTCGACACGAAAGTAGGCGAATCTTTTATAACAACCTGTTGCGTTTGGAGCTGGCAAATCAAAATGACGGATAGCACGGACATTATTGCGGATAAAATCCCTAAAAACGCGAGCACCACGAGAGAACGCTGACTATAGGAATGCGTCATGTCCGACAGTGGATAAATGTCCGATTTACTTCACAAACAAACAGCGATAGTCCATCAAAAATAATATTTTTTCCACTTTTCCTTGCTACTTTCTCGCTATGTTTTCTGTTGTCGGTTTTCTTGAGGCTCAAAACAAACGATGCGCGAGTGGCTGCTGTGGAATGCGCGTGCTCTCGTGCCGCTGTTGTTCAGTCAGAGCATGTGATCCACTTTAAATCCCCAGATTATACACATTTCATGCAACAATGAACTTTTTATTTGGATTTATTCGTCTAAGAAGCCATACCGCAACTTACTCGCCCTACACTTATTTGTCCGTTGAAAAGCAACGCGCTTGCCTATGCCATCCACGTTTTATTATCCAGTGCATGCAGCAGGTGTAAAGCACTAATAATAAAAGTCTATATGCGTCCATCAGCATGAGCGAAATTTAGGACAAAAATAGTATTATTATTTAAATTATTTTATTACATATTGTATTATATTTTTTTATTATTATGTATTTTAACAGTTCTTAACATTTATATGAACAGTTAGTGTTGTTTGTCAACACCGGTAATCGAGAATGTGGTCGAAGTTTCCCATATTTTGCTTATGTGTGTGTTTGTGTGTGTGTGTGTGTGTGTGTACTGTATTTGAATGCAATGTCATTTAAAAAACATTAAAAACTTTATCAGCAACAAAGTTTATCTCCATTTTTCTAAAGCTAGTATTTCTTATTATATGACTATTAACTTGCTAGAATGCAAAAACATTTTTGCTCAAATGGGCCCATTTGCATGACAAGATATTAAGAATGATTATTTTGCACAAAAAACACCGTAAAATAAGGTTGCTGCATTACATTTTTAATTACAATCATCTTGGATGTTTGTCATTTCAACTTAAATTACAATAAACTGACTTAAAATTAGTTGAATCTTGTAGGCTATAACTTGTAAAATGTAAAACTTGTGTCATAACTTACTGATCATCTCATTTTTTATTTATTTACAATCTGTATGTTGAATGTAATTTAAAATTGGCATATATTTCTTCAGTGTCATAGTATTTAAGCTTAGTAGCATAAAGGTGAAACGTTGCTTATTACCTTAACTCTGAATGCACAGGTGGTTTTTTTTGCTCAGAATGGGCTGATGGGAACTCGAGGTCTGCCGCTGTGCTTAACGTGATAAGCGTGACACTAAAAAAAACATTGCCTGAAGAATCGCCTAAACATGAACGCTGACCAGAGAGGCTATTTCTGAATCCGAGAGACTCACCACATGTACAAAAACTTCAGGCCGCTGATGTTGTCAAAAGCAGAAGTGAGAAGTTTCAGGAAAAAAAAAAAAAAAAGAAAACAAGTTGACACTTGACACTTTCCAGAGTTTCCTTTATTTAATTGAGACCCAGTTATCTTGGGTATAATATAACCATTATACATTTATTATGCACTTTACATAAAGGTTCCAGTTGCCTAAAAAAGTGTTTACACCACTGCCATGACATTTATAGGACCACAAAGAACTAGTTTGATGCATATAATGATGCTTTATAGAACCCAGAGGTCAGTAGGCTATATATTTGAGAGTCTTATTATGATTCTGTATGATTATTTGAACTTTCTCACCTAATGCATTTCATAATCAGAAAGAGCTTCATGGGACATTTGAGTTAATGAAGGTTTGTTGGCATCCATTGTTCCAAGAAGTTTTAACAACCACGGAACTTTTCCATTGGACAAAAGGTTCTTTAGATGTTTTAAATGTTCTTTAAACTAAGAAAAAAATGGTTCTTTTAAGAACTGTTTAGTGAAAGGTTATTTCTTCAGAATCAAATATAGGTTCTTTATTGGCATCTAAGGTTCCATGAAGAACCTTTAACATCCATGGAAACTTTTCATTTGCACAAAAGGTTCTTTATAGTACAAAAAGGTTGGATTTTTAAAATGTTCTTCACACTAAGACATTTTTTTTTCTTTTGAGAACTGTTCACTGAAAGGTTCTTTGGGGAACCCAAAATGGTTCTTCTGGCATCACTGTGAAAATTTATTTTGAATTTGGTCCATTTTTCAGCTATGTATAAGCCATATTCAATATGCATTTTAAAATCACTGTTTTTATGTATTCTCTCCAGACTGAAGGGAATACACTGAGCTTCCTGCAGTGGGGATGCTGAGGGACTGTCGGGAGCATGACATGAGTTTGCTAATTCTTGCATCAGATGACATGCAGATTAAACTCTCGGTGGGGAACTAAAACCTCTGAGAAATGCTGAGAGAAATTAGTAACCTCTTCACAGCATGTACAGATATACATCTCATTGTCACTTTTTATGGGAAGTAGCCAGTGCAAGTCTGCTAAGATTATTTTACACTATAAAGCTAAAGTTGCATTACATGTTGAGATGAAAGTGCATGCAATGAAGTTCTGTCCCCTATGAAATTGTGAATACTGTATATGGTGAAATATATTGAATATATATTTATATATATTATGATGTTTAATGTTGTAAAAATAATTACAATACTGTAAATAAAATAAGATAGGTATTTTTGGTATTTCAGATTAATTTTAATAATGTGAATCGTTAATAAGAAAATGGATTTTTCCTGGAAAAGTGTTATATACACATATTTATACAATATAAGTTAACTAGGGCCTACTTATTTATTTATAATTTTAAAAAAAAGTGAAGCAAATTTGACAGGTCAAAAACTAGAGGTCCCTCCAGATATTCTATAGGGTGTCAGTGGATAAAATATTTAAAATATCTTACATAACTATAATACATAAAATAAAATGAAATATAGCCTAACTATAGATTAATAAAACAATATTAGCTATATTATTACAATAGCCTATAATTAATAAAATATAAATATAGACTAACATTGTTTCGGTTTCTTCACATTTCTATAAATAAATTAATTTCTGCCAAACTAAATAGGCCTATCTGTTCTTAATAAACGTTATTATAAAGTGTTGCTCAGAAAATATAGCTTTTGGACATTACATAGCCCGCCAATATTGTCATAAAAAAAGAAAACGTTTGCCTTTGTAAATCTAGTTTTTTTTTTTTTTTTTTAGGTCAGTTTAATCATGGATTGTGGTCCTGTCTCTATTGCGTAATTATTATTATTTTATTTTGTTTATGGCAGAGAACAGGAACATACAAAAGAATAAGCATAACGCACATCATATCCGTAATAAATTTTAATGGGTTAGGGCAGGGGATTCAAAGTGGCGTCATGACGGTAGTTTGAAATAAACGACAGTGTTCTTATGGAGAGAAAGCTAGGCTAGTTCTTTCTTTTCGCTGTTTCACTTTAACTACATCTTTAAATATAACCCTTGTGCGCTTAATATTTAAGTGTCCATTTACAGTATCGGGTGAGGTTTTCATTAAATGAATGACAGAATAAAAGTGATGGCGTCTTTAGCAGCCAATGAAACTCGACAGAGGCGGGTGAGAACAGAGAACAGGCGAAGATGATGGGCGTCTCTTTCAGCCAATGGGAACGCCGGAGGGGCGTGGCATTTTCTGTATGATGACGCTGCTGTAGGAACAGCTGGAGATGATTGGCGTCTCTTTCAGCCAATGGAAACGCTGAGGGGGCGTGGTAATATCCGCATGATGCTGGTACAGTAAGAACAGCTGGAGATGCGCTGTTGTCAAAAAGAGCTCGACGATCATCAGGTGATGTGAACTCAACCAACTCATTCAACTGATCCATCTTCTTTTGCTGACTGGCGACGCTGTTCATAACGACTCAACCGACTGGTTAATTGTCAAATCCAGGTGAGATATATTATTATTTTTAAATAGCTATAGTTATAGCCTATATAAGTATATAACAGTATAGCTAGCTATATTTTTGCGTTTAGTCTTACATTTGAGTGACCCTGGAATAGGAGAGTTATTGGAATGACAGGTTGATCTATTTATAGAACTATCAACATTTGATGTATGTAGGCCTATATACAATTAAATATTTAAAGCATAGAAGATCAGCACAAAAACAAGGCCTTTCGTTCACTCACTAGTTCTTATCAAGCCACCATCGACGTGTTACCTTGAGAATGTGAGAAACTAATGCAGAATGTTTTATTGGTTTTGTACAGATGTGCAAAATATTTATTTATTTTGGCAAATCAACTTATATTGCATTCTAAATGTACAACTTTGTAGTATGCAATGCCCACTCCTTGGGAATCAAACCTAGAACCTTGCAGTTGCAGGCTTTGCCATTAGAACAGCCTATAAAGGTAAACCAAAAGGTGAAATCCTGCGCAAAACACATTTGTGTCATCTAATAATGTTCTTGCACCTAGATGTAATTTTAAACCCCAGGGACCTTGCTGCATTTTGCAAAATACAGAAACCATACGTTCAGCGCATATCTTAAAATTGGCTTTGTGCATTTACTGCAGCATAATTGAAGTTTTTTAATAATAATACGAACAATACTATTGTGCCATAACCATTTAGAAAGCATATGTAGCCTTCCGTTTGCTTCTTGGGCTTCTTAGACCGTTTGCTCTTGTCATTTGGTATGCAAATATAAGTCTTACTTACTATTTTTGGCTCACCCAGGTTTCTCATCCCACCGATGCATGTGCATACAAACCATTAGCTTCAGCCACCAACAGCTGAAGTGTCTGTAAGCTACAGGTGCCAGTTGCATGTGGTTTTGAAACAGTTTTGACGTCCATTAGCAAATAATTATTTGCTCTAGTGTTCTAGAGCTCATTTAGTTGCGTTCCCCAGCTCCAACAGGTTTGACTAGTCTCCACAAAAGGTGTTTGTTGTTGGAGCTCTGGTGGTGTTGTCCCCATGAGGGACCCAGAAATTAGTTCCCTCCGGCCCCAAAGCGAGTGCTATGTAACACTGCCACTGTTTGTGTGGATTCTTTTCCACTGTCTGGCCTCTGGGAGAATCGCACAGGAAGCTGAATGTACACCAAGGGCAGACAGGATCCAGAGGTGCAATAGTTGCATTATTACGAACTACGTCTTTTCATTTCTTTTTTAATGTAATTTCATGTGCAGTCCAGCTGAATCAGTAAATTTCACTTGATTTTTCTTTCTTTCTGTATGCAGTAGCTAATTGAGCAACATCATTTTTGAATATTTTGTCACTATTTAATTGTGTAATTATTCAAATTAGTAAAATTTTCTTAATGCATTTGTTTTAGCGTAGCATTGTTAAAACCGAATCGTGGATTTCCAGTTCCCAGCATGGTTAGATTTTTTTTGTTGCATTTTATAATAAGAAAATATATATAAATAATATATAAGAAAATATATAAATGTATAAATAAGAAAATATATATTATTGTATATTTTATATATTTTTATATATTTAAATTTTAATAGAATTTTAATATAAAGATTTATTATCGTGCTTGATGACTAAAGGTGATTTCTACCACAGCGTTTGGCTCACACTTGCCTCAAATATCTGAATAGACAACCCCATTTCATGAGAATAATTTTACATAACGGCGAATTAGTGGCAAATTCATATGATTTCGTACCATTTTAGTTAAAATGTTAAAATTAAGTGTTTTTTTGTGTATATAAATTAAAAGAAAATGTAACAATTTTACGTTTTGGCAAATTGGTTGAGTTCGTACAATTTGATTCATGCGAAAATCTATGATTTTCACTCCTATAACCGTCGGTGGTGCATAACATAAGCATGAAAACAAAAATGAGCCAAAACTTATTTATGAATTGCCATGAAGAGTTGTAGATGACATTTCTGCCTGTGGTTATGTCTACTATAGCATCATAAATCAGTTTGTTGAGACAAGTCACTGAAAACCAGAGTTAAAGATGAACATTGTAATGTCGCTTATAGTCACATTGGTTTGCGAGATGCAAAAGCAAATGCATTGACAAATTTGAGGAACTTTAAACTTAGCCCAACACATAGTTTGGTGATAACAATCTTGTCACAAATGCTTCTCACTTCCTCGCATTACATTTATATCTCATGACCAACTGCCTGACCCTGATGCAGGCCACCTGTCAAATCCTTTAGGTGTGTGTGTGTGTGTGTGTGTGTGTGTGTGTGTGTGCATGGAGAATATCATTCTGGTATTCTCTTTATATGGTTATAATGGCACAAAACAAGGATTCCTCCACTTGTCTGCCTGTGTGCCAAGGGGTGGGTGTGAGGGCAACGGGCACTCATGGATCGTGGGAACAGCGGCGCTCTCTCCGTAAACCATTGGCTTTGAGATTTTAAAAATAGATGAGGTTACACATGCCTAATATATGAGAGGAAAAAAGCATAGCTGAAGTCCTGGGGCTTTTACATTAGCAGTTAGCCACTATGCTAACAGCAGGGTTTGAAAGACATTTCCCAGTGGGATTGATAGCAAGTACATTAGCAAAGTCAAATTAATGATTGTATTTCACTGATTTATAAGCCTATGTGAAGCTGCAAAAACAGCTTCAAGCCTAGCGTAGACCTACAGATCTTTTTGCTATGTCAAATTAAGTGTGCTTTATCAACATCAAATATATATTCAAGTTTTTTTTTGCTTTTTATTTCAGCAACTAGATCTCAGTGTCGTCAAATGCAGCTAACAGCTTAGCAGATTCTAGCTACAATAAACTCACCAAATTGTTAGCTACTAGCATTTTAGCTCTAAAAATAGTTGTTCTAGTGCAACTTCACTATGAAATGTGCTTTAAAATAGCAAAGCAGATGTATTGAGTGCAGATTTTTAATGTTTTATTTTTAAGCCAAAGTTGTTAGCTTTAGCTATAGCAATCACCCAGGCTAAGATCTGTGAAATGCATCACCAATTATCTCTAATTGGCTAAAACCTTTCTGACGAATGATGACCCTCATCTAGGAAACTTTACTACCCCTCCCCCACCACAAAATCAACTGTTGGTGTCCATTTCGCTCATGGGAGAACAGGGGGTGGACAGGAACTTTCCCTTCATTGAAACATTATTATTACAAGTGTGGTTGTAACGCTAAAGCTAACTTTAATCTACCTTTAAATAGAGATGTCATATTTTTAACCTGTGCCCTGTGGAAACGTTCATGTTTGTGCTGGGATAACCCAGACTGTGGGGGTGTTAGGGTGCGCGCCTGGGCTAACTTTACTCCCAACTAACCCTCTGGAGGGTATAAGTACACAAACGTCCGTAATCCTTGGATGGGAAATTGGGGTTGAAGTTGGTATTGGTTGAACACATCACGCATGAGCAGTTACCATTATATTTACAAAAGCAATACATACAGTATGTTTCTGCAGAAATATGATTATTGTGAATTTATACTATTTTACTACAAAATAAATTGTATTTTTATAATATATTATGCTCAATTTCTCATATCTCTGTTATTTTCTGTAAATTGTATAAACATTTAATGACGTGTTTTTACATGCCACACATTCTACTAATAAATTACATTTTGTTTTTTACATTTCTGTCCTGTTGATTTAGAAAAGTCCCGCTCCGAACACAAAGCATCATGGGGCGGAAGAAAATACAGATATCTCGGATTCTTGATCAGCGAAATCGTCAGGTCTGTACTCTTTTCACTTCATACCACGCTGTTTAAATTCAACAGGAAATGACATTCAAACGGTTTCTGTGTGAAAATCAATATTAAGTAGGAAACAATGTTGGGTGGGGCTTGGTTTTAACATGATTTGATTGGTGGATGTTAGCCTGTATTATCAGTGAATTATTATTTTTTTATTCCGCCCACACAGCGTTGGTTTTGGCAGCCAAAAGGTTACTTTAGGGACAAAGAAAATTATTTTTAAATGAAGTAATTTTTATAATATAAAGTATGAAAACAAACTATTTTCAGTTGGATTGATATGCAACGATCAGTTGTGCAAAACTAAAACCAGGCATGTTTCTTTTGATTTTGACTTCATGTTTATATATCTCTATCTTACAATATATCGGCCAAAAAAAAACCCCCACAAACATGAGCCTTCCTTTCTCTTCAGACAACCAGGACTAAATTATGTGATGTTTTCACACCTGATTAACGATTAAGATAATGTTTGCTCTATGACAGAAAGTGATATTTTAATCCAGGTCAAATTATCTCAAGGTGTGAAACACGGCTTTTACTTAGGGGCGAAGAAAACATGTCCAAAAAAAGACTCAGAAAAGACACAGTGTGAGAAGTTAAACCATTATAGCTTTGTGGCATCTATCAGATGTTTCTGTAACAATAGTCCTGTGGTTTGTTCTCTTCTTCAAGGTGACATTTACCAAGCGCAAATTTGGTCTGATGAAAAAGGCTTACGAGCTGAGCGTGTTGTGCGACTGTGAGATCGCTCTCATCATCTTCAACAGCACTAACCGTCTTTTCCAGTACGCCAGCACTGATATGGACAAAGTTCTGTTAAAGTACACCGAATACAGTGAACCTCATGAGAGCCGTACAAATACTGACATACTGGAGGTACATGCCAAATCTCTCCCTTCTGAAGTGTTTTCATTATTAATAAATCACCAAATCAGGTGGGCTACCGCTACGGTTTCACTGTGCTTAATTTAATTGTAAAGTAACCAAACAAAGTCCCAATTTTAAACAGGCATAATATAGATGATAATTTAATCAACACGAAGCTGGAGATGTTTTGTCCTGAACAGATTTGTAGATTTGTCCGTATATTTAGAGCAAAAAATCCAGACCTTTAGTGAAACTGCTTTATTTTGCATTGTTTTCTTAATTTATAATTATAAGGAAATATAATGAAAAAATATACATATAAATAAAAAAATATACCAAGTCTGGAATCAAAGAATTAACACTTTTATTCAGCAAGGACACATTCAATTGGTCAATAGTGACAGTATAGATATTTATAATGTCACAAAAGTTTGATTTCTATTTCAAAGAAATGCTGTTCTTTTGAAATTTTTAAGAATCCTGAAAAAATATATCATGATTTCCATGAAAATATTAAACAGCACACTTGTTTTCAACACTGATAATTATAAGAAATGTTTCTTGAGCATCAAATCAGCATGTTTTCAGAATGATCATGTGACTGGAGTAATGATGCTGACCTCTTGTACATTTTAAATTGTAATAATATTTCACAATATTTCTGTTTTTACTGTATTTTTTATCAAATAAATGCAGCCTTGGTGAGCATAAAAGACTTCTTTCAAAAACAAAAAACCTTTAGTGTGTATATATGTTAGTTATAAAATAATAGCTTATATATTTTTGTTGAACTTTGTATATTTAGTTTTATATATATACATTGTATCTAACATCAAATTGTGTAAAGTTTTAAATTTCTTTTAGTATTTCATTAGAAAACAGAATTATATCAGAGCTGTGGTGCTCATATGGGAGATGGAGGTTTGAATTCAGCCTGTGTGATTTCCTGATCCGACTTTTCCTGAGAATTTACTATTCTCTCTTTTCTCCTCTCTTCCACCCTCTTTCTCTCTGAGCGCTCCAGACTTTGAGAAGGAAAGGTTTGGGACTGGAGAGTTCAGAGCTCGAACACGAAGACAGCGTGCCGATGGGAACGGAGAAATATCACGACGGCATGGACCTCTCCATCGCTCGCCAACGCTATTATGTTAGTAGAATCTTTCAGATGACAATTTCTGAGCCGAATGTGCATATGGGTTCTTCTGAAGTACTGTTATAAATCCATTAGGCTCCATCGCTCCTCCCTTCAGAAGTGATGGGTGCAAGTACTGAAAACGGCTACAGCAACTCCTCCAATCCAAACCTGGGTGCCCATCGGACTCCATCCTACAAACCTTTCTGTGGCAGGCCGGGCTCAACCAGTTCTGTCAGCTCCAACTCTCATCCGGCCCTTATGGGACCGCATTCAGGTATTAGAAAATGGCCAAGACATTTCTAAATATTTGATAACATGACTACACTTATCATTCACTATTAAAATAAAGGCTAGGTCTATATTTAAAGCTACACATGTATCTTCAATAAAACTTTTTTTAAATAACGTTACAAAAAATGGGCAATTCTGGCAGTAGACATAACAATTGGTATTCATATCGGATAATGTTGGATGCTATAACTTGGCATGGGCTATTTATAGGCAAGTAGAGTAGTAACTGGTTTAGAGATTGGCGTTGTTACTAACATAAACATTGTTTTTTGAACCTAGTCAGTGCACAGCAAATGTAATGCTATGGAAATATTGATTCTTGTTTTATTACGGGTACTGTCGCATTCCCGTTTTGCTTGCAAGCTATAGACTTTATGCGCCAGAAAAAACAGGAGCGCAGCCATCTTTCGAATTTTGTCTTTGAACTTCAGTCTTTGCGGCAAATCAGTATATTTCTATGGCATCGCTGTCGAAGCGTAATTAGCTGGTCAAGTGCATTTACTTATTGTAGAGTTAACGAAAGTTATCATGAGCTTTGTAATGTTTGAAGCAGATGTCATAACAAATGTCAGTTAGACCCGGAAGATTTTAAAGTGAGCGGTTCATTCATAAATCCGTAAGATCTTCCCTTCAAGCTGTGGAAATACAAACCGGAAGACATTACACAACGAGCGCGGCGCTAAAAAGGGGCGGGGCTACATAGGGGTTTTTTTGGGGAGCAGACGTCACAGCTACGTCACTTGCAGCTGCGTTAGCTTTGTGGTGGCAGAAAACCAGTGGTAACAAGTGGAGGAACACGGGCGAGATCCATGGAATAAGAGAGAAAATGACGTGTTGTGCCTTTAGATGTCAGAATGAAAAGAAAAAGAAGATGGTGTTTATTTTTACAGAATACCATCATCGAAGTTTCCTTTGAAGTGAAACACAGACGTTTATGGATGCAAGCTATTAAGCAAACATGCTGGGCTGATGAAACCTGTGACGACGATTACTATTAAAGCATGGATTTGATGTAAACAATAGATCTACATAATATTCACATATGCGGGCAATGTATTATCCCTACAGTTACAGCATGAAAACATATTTAAACATTAAACATAAACATTTGACATAGATTACATTTAAACCTATAACATTATTTTCTCACAGTTCAGACTCTTTTTTCAGTTTATATCTCCCAATTCTGACTTTATGACTCGCAATTGATTCTGAGAAAAGGTCAGAACTGCAGGATATAAACTTGCAATTCTGAGGAAAAAAGGCAGTATATTGAGTTTATACCTTGCAATTCTGATTTTCATATTTTTCAAAAACCCAAATGGTCTACTTTCCCAGGAAATCTGTTCCGACAACTCTAAAATACAATTATTATAGGCTCATCATGATCATTAAGTGTAAGGCAAAACACGGTTTGGACGATGGCTTTATGATTTGCCCAGCGAACAAAAATATGTTCTAATGAACATTTTGCTAACATTCCCCTTAAGTTATGAAATCATTATTTTGAATGTTCTCAACTTTAAACACATCCAGTTTTTTATGTTTTTTGTTGTTGTTGTTTTTGTTATGCGAACTTTAAGGAAACATTTCATTTTTTCATCTTGCAAACATTATGGGAACATTACTTTTGAATGTTCTCTGAACGTTCTGAAACTACACTGTAAAAAAAAAAGGTTGCCGCCTTAAATTTTTAAGTACAATCAACTTCGATGTTTAAGTTATTTCATCTTAAATTACATTAAACTGACTTAAAAAATGAGTTGAATCTTGTATAACAAAAAAAGTAGAAAATTGTTTAACTTATTTTGATGAGTTGAAGCAATTTAAAAACATATGTTGTCATAACTTATTGCTCATATAATATATTCATGATTTGTTTTCACAAAAAAATGTAATTTGTCAAATCAACTTAGATAATTTATGTGGTTTAGATAACATAATATTTTGACTTTCTGTTGGTTAAACCAATCTCCTTCATTGTATTAACTTTTTTTTTTATTAACTTAAATTAAATTAAACTTAAATTTTAAAGGGTTAGTTCACCCAAAAATGAAAATTCTAATGACTCACCCTCATGTTGTTCCAACCCCGTAAGACTTTCGTTCATCTTCGGAACACAAATTAAGATATTTTTGATGAAATATGAGAGCTGGATCACTCCTCCATAAGCTTCTAGGTAATTTCATCTGCCGGCCCAGAAAAGTTAGTAAAGACATCGTTAAAATAGTCCAAGTGACTACAGTGGCTCAACCTTAATTTTATCAAGCGAAAGGAATACTTTTTGTGCTCAAAAAAACAAAAATAACGACTTTATTCAACTATTCATTTTCTTCAGTCTGGGCCTCTGACATGAGTTCACGAGAGCGCATTGTAACATTTAAAAAACGTTAGACAAACAACAAAAGACGTTTCAGAAGTAAAACGTTCAATAATGTTTTGAACACATTACTAAAGTCCAGATTACTAGAAGAACCTCTGATCATAACTCATAACTTTGAGAAAACCTTGTAATCCAAAATTCGAGAATATTCCTTGTCAGTTGGGGTACTCATTCATTATTTAAATTTTGTTTGTTTCAAACAAAACATTTTACATAGTGTAGTAGTTTTAACTACATAAACTACTGTATATGTACCACATAAACCGTATCCACTAAATGTTTAGTAGATACGAACCACTAAAACTTTATTATAGTCATTATCGGATGGTGTTACACTAAAAGGCAGTGGGGAACGCTCCCCAAGTTGAGTATTTTAGTACTTGCGCACAGGAAGTTCTCATATATGAAACAGCCCACCGTCTCAACCACGCACACACACAGACACACATCTGAAACAGTAGCTGAAGACAGAGCTGTGGTTTCTGAGCAGAATGTCACACCTGCTGGACTTTGATGCAGCGCCTCCATATTACTATTAGTAGTGCAGCATAGGAATATTCTTCTCAAAGCGACCTGTGGTCAGAATCCAGCGCTCAAAGCTAGCAGAAGTGTCACATGCATCAGAATGCAGCTTCTAATTGTGACGGTGGTCTTGAAATGGAATATGAAATAGTTTGATGTAGAGGTAGACGTTCAGGTTTTCAGGTTTAACGTGTGATTTTTCTTGAACTATGGGAGCTTTAATGTCCCAGGGCTTGATACTTACAAATAACATGATTTATTTTCCTGGTCAAAGGTCACATAAATAAAATTGCCTTTGATTTTTTTTTTTTACTTTTTTTTTTTAACCATGCTTTCCTTTATTTTAACATTTTTAAACCTTCATTTATTCTGACAAAAATGAAACTTCACGGTGAAAAATATTATGGTAACACTTTACAATAAGGTCTCATTGGTTAACATTTGTTAATGTATGAACTAACATGAACTAACAATGAGCAATACATTTGTTAGAGTATTTATTAATCTTTGTTAATGTTAGTTAATACAAATCCAGCTGTTCATTGTTTGTTCATGTTAGTTCACAGTGCATTAACTTATGTTAACAAACACAACTTTTGATTTCCATAATATATTAGCAAATGATGAAATTAACATGAACTAAAATTAATAAATGGTGTATTGTTCATTCTCACTGTAAAAAAAATAGTTTCATGATTTGTTTTCACAACTTCTTTCTTTTGTCAAATCAACTTAGATAATTCATGCGGTTCAGATAACTGAATATTTTGAGTTTCTGTTGAATAAAACATTGTATTAACTCAAATCTTTAATTTCAATGAACTCAAAATTTTAGGGCAACCAGGTTACATGCTTTTTTAAGTTAAACCAACAATCTTTTTTCAGTGTGTTAACTAAAGTATGAATCCTTATTTTAAAGTGTTACCGATATTATTTAAAAATATATATATGATAATCTAGATAAAGAGCAATAAACAATTAATTGAAATATATTGAGTGAAAATTACTGTCCGTCAGTTGCGACAATACTGTCCATAAAAAGTTTTTTTCAAAAGTTGAGATCTTCTTTATTTATTTGTTTGTGTTTTTTTGTTCATTAGTTTATTTATTTATAAATGAAAAGCTATGATAAAAACGATATACATGATTAAAACTATAACAATCTACATAAAGTAAAAGTTCAATATTTGAGTAAAGTTTTTTCAACAATCACTCTCCATCAATACTGTCCATAAAAAGTTTTTTCAAAAGTAAGATTACTTGCTTAAAACTTAAGATGAAACAGATGTATCGTGCAAACAGAGAAATCAAGAAAAATGTTACTTGAGAAGTGATTTTTTTCTTTCCATTTCCAATCAACCACTAATTCTGTCAAATTATGCAAAACATTTGATTGTGTGTACTTAGGATACATAAACGCTAGCAATGAAATTAGCCTTAGCAAGACATTCAGAGCCATCAATCACATCAAGACAAGTTCACACTTATCAGCAAAGTGTTTCCATACAGCTGGCAAGCATAGATAGCGAAGAAACGTTGTCTGCGAAGGAAAACTTCTCCTTTCAGCGAGTGACAGAGAGAACGGGAGAGAGAAACTGAAAAAATGATTTCAACCACATCTTGTTTTTCACTTCCCATATGACTGAAGGTCTGGGCTACTCAATGTTTTCTCATGGCAACCTGAGCAAGGCCTTGGAGATGAAGACTCCGCCCCCTCTGAATATGACCAGTGACGGACGTCGCATTGATGCTCACAGCGGACTGTGTGGAACCCGCAGCAATTTGGCCAATGCAGTGAGAGAGTCTACCAAAGTACTCACTTATACACAGCAATGACTCACTATGCATAGCCAAACTTTACATATATCACTGTACATGACTTATGTACAGAGGAAAAGGCAACTTTATCTTACTCCTTTTATTAATTTTGTGTAAATACATCATTAACAAGTGCTCTAGTTGCTCATGTAAATTCAAATGTAATTATTTATGAAAATGCATGATTTAAAGTTGCATGATATTTCTAAATATAGACATTTCATAATTGAGCGTAATGTGTCAACAACATTATATTATATTATATATATACATAATATACATATATTATATTTTATATATTGTAATATGTAATTTTTTTATATACATTTTATAAATCATTGTATTTATGAAAATGTGTGTGTATGTGTATTTATATGTCATGTTTTATTGACATTTCATAATTAATAATATTAATATTTTTCATATAAATTGTATGAATATTATATTATTATAGACATTTCATAATATAGCATAATGTAGTATTAATTTGTAATATTAAAATTTGTCATATCAATTTGATAAATTATTATATTATATTATATATGATTTAAATGTCCAATAACTAATGATGCGATAAGCAATATATAATAACAATTAATTATATGATATTATAAATGCATTGTATAATATAGTTATATAATATGATATAAATCTATAATATTAATATTTTTCATATCAATTTGACAAATTATTATATTTATAAAAATATTATTCAAAGTTGTACTATATATGTAGTATTACCGGTAAATATAATATTTATATTTGTCATATCAATTTTATAGATTATTATATTGTACTCAAACTTAAAGTAAATATAATATAACTTAATGATACTGATATACTTTATGATATCATTTTAATAACCTTGTGGTTACATGTTTTTTGTTGTTTGCTTTCCATCTAGAGAGCACTCTATCAGAGTATGCATGCTGGGGGCCACATGATGGCGATGGGGAAGACAGGCTTACTGGGCCACAGTCTGGGCAACTACGGGGCCTCAGGTGGGGGACCAATCTTTATTCAGAGCACAGTCTGCAAAATTATAATACAGTAGCAAAAATGCTGTTAATACTGTTAAAAAGAAGCATTGACGGTCACTTTCTGTCTTAGAGTACAGCCACCCGAGTTACACTGTAGGTTTTCAACGCAATTCTATGAACACCTGGCAACCTTTGTCTCACCAGGATGCCCACCAGTCCATGATCAGCCCTGGGTGAGGCTTTTATAACCATATCACACATATTACTCACACTTGACATAATCAAACAAAGTGCATCATATAAAATAAATCGATTTTTTTTTAGTGTTTTAAATTATTTAAATAAAATGATATTTTATGTCATTTATTAAGTTATTTAATTGATATTTATTTTTCATGAATGATTTATTATAAGTATTTCTGCCACTGTCCACAGGATGGCATCAGGAGGAAGCTGCCCGTACCCTTCGCAGTGCTCTTCTCCCTCCTCGCCGCCACACCCCTCCCTCAACCTGAGCATCAAATCAGAGCGCACCTCTCCTGATCACATGCTCTCAGCCACGCCCCCCAGCCATCACATGCTGCAGCACTCACCAATGGAAGATCCCAAAGCCACGGGCGAGGAATACACAGCGATGGAGAGGAGTGAGATACAGAAGGCCTCTTACTCCAGCCAGCCTGGTCCAAACAGAGACTCCGGGGAGGGCAAAAGCAACCCGCCTCTGAAACAACATGACATCAGTAATGAATGGATAAGATAATTACCCCATCCTTTTTAAATGTCTTAAATTCTTTTCTTTCTTTTTTTTTAATTGGGAGATGCAATCTTCATATAAAAAAAAAAAAAACATGCATTATATTTGTTTTCCTTAACAGGCAATGCATCACATTTTTTTTCTCCAGCTATTCTTCGAAGTTAAATATACATGCAGTTAATGAGATGTTTTAATCAGAACCAGTAAAAAAAAAAAGTAGTAATATTATCACTTCACCAGAGCAACATTCAAAAATCAATGTTGACCCTGATTAGAAATGTTATTTCTGTTTTTCCTCACGTGTATATTACTGTAGAGCCAAAAAGTATGTTCATGTAAATGATCTTCACTCAGAACGGACTGCTTTTCTACTTTCAACGTTTTTAATGAGAAAACAATGTTGTCTTGGTATTTTTTTGCTAATTTGCATAACTTCTGGCATTACCTATATATTACATCATATTTTATGCTTAAGTTTTTTCACTTGTGCTTGTGTGAATGCTGCATACCAACATGTACAATCCTGAAGTATTGTCAGTTTGTTGCAATGTCCATAAGAGGGCGGCACATAACCATATCAGACATCTGAATGCTATGCTTCTTGTTGACGTGATACCTTGTAGCCTAACTTTTGTTTTATAATAATTAAAGAATTTCATTTGTACATCTTGAGTAGTATGTCGTACATTTATTAACGCATGTTGCATCATTTGCCAACACTTTCCTATACTTAAATCAGTCAGTGGTTCATGCACTTGAGCCATTAGAGGGCCTCACTGAACTTTGTTTACTATGAGGACTTAAAATGATTTAAAATAAGTTATCATAAAATAATTTAACTTAATATAATGCTAAACTACACAAAATGGCTGTTAGGCCTACTATCGACTGTGCTGTGTTGACCAATAGCATTTGTTTTATTAGTTTAATCATGTAGTGAGGCGATAATAATGAGGTACATTTGGGCATTTCTCATGATAGAAAGGATGAAGTATACTCCTGTTAATACCAGGACAATACACATGAATCTTTCGCTGTCGTGGTATTTATCAAGGTACCAGGGTACAGGTAAGGGGAGCTGTGTATCAACCTTGACATATTGAAATTAGGTTGTGAGAGACATTAGCTAGTAGCCTACTACAGTAATAAATCACATGACACAAACCGAAAATTAGTTGGAAAGACGTATGTCTAATGTTTAAGATCACTAAATTCGAGGCTTCTAGTCATTCCTAGGATATCTAAGTCCACTAAAGGAGGGTGGGCGTTCTCACATTTAGCTCCTAAACTCTGGAATAGCCTTCCTGATATTGTTCGAGGCTCTGACTCGCTGTCCCATAAAACTAGATTAAAGACGCATCTCTTTAGCCAAGCATTTACATAATGCTTACCTTTTATAATACTGCTGAATCAGATCAAATGCATTTAATACTATAAAACTTGAAGAGACTGTAGGTTATCTGTATAGGTTGCATAGTATTTGCAGTCATTACGTTCATATTGCGAGGATGACGGGTGGTTGGGCAGATATTGTGTTGCGGTAGGTACTATGCCATACGGAACCGTTGTCCACTGAAACTGCCTATTCACGCACCAGTGGGGCTCGACAGCCTTAGTCAACGGGTTGGCGCGTATGGTTGGGTTGCGGAGAGATTGTGAGATTGTGGTTAGGTCTCAGCAGCAGGAGGGACGTAGAGGTCAGTAAGCTGGGCTGAGTTGAGTGGGGGACGGAGGGGGGTGATTTTGGGACGCAAGAGTCACTGTCTTCATGTTTTATAATTTACGCCTGTGTTATGGAAATCATCATTATGAACAGCAGCTACGCTAATTATTGTCCCTTTGCTTTTCTGCTGTTATCTCGGGACGCGAGTCCCGAGAAAATGGCGTTCGTCAGCTCCAGTTTGTATCCAGCCTCTCACGGAGACTTCAGATGCTCCAATCACAAAGCCTATGAAGTGACGACTCAACACGGGCGATATGGACTCTCTATGGTGGACGGCACTGATCCTCAACAACTCGTCTTAAGACCGGCGTGCATACTTGGACTTCCAAAAAATACTCTAAATGTTCCGATCCAATCTGACTTGTAATGCTGCCCGAATCATGCACTGTTCCTTCGTTGGCCAGAGGAGAACTGGCCCCCCGACTGAGTCTGGTTTCTCCCAAGGTTTTTTTCTCCATTCTGTCACCTGATGGAGTTTTGGTTCCTTGCCACTGTTGCCCTGGCTTTTGGCTTGCTTAGTTGGGGACATTTAATATTCAATAATATTATTGATCTGCCTTACTTAAGGTGGACGTTGACGCAATTTCTTTTAGAAACAAACTTTGTTATATTGTTTTCATGTTATCACTGTGAAGCGCTTTGATACAATCTGTATTGTAAAAAGCGCTATATAAATAAAGGTGACTTGACTTGACTTGTTTCTTTGACAACGCAATCAAGGTACAACTATAAACACAATAAAGCCTACCTTTACTGGCTCGTTTAAATTAAGTAGGCCTATGACGTAAAATGTATCTGAAACCACATTTTTTGACAACTGAAAACAAATTGGAAAGGCGTTTTTTTTTATGTTTAACTGAGTTAACGAAGTCAAAATAACCATGCTAAAAGTGTAGTAGGCTAAGTTAACCATGGTTAATTTGTGGTTACCATGGTTAACAATAACCATGTTTTTTTTGTTTTTTTTTGTAAAACCATCGTTAATTTTCGTAAAGGTTTGGCAGTTTCCTGCTTCAGTATTTTTATAGATTATTGTTCACGTTTATATTGTATGCTGAAAAACGATACGTATTTCATAAGTTTTAAAGCCTTTTATTGGCAAAAACATTCAATATGCTAAGTCAATATTTACAGTGTTGACCCTTCTTTATAACCTCTGCAATTCGCGCATGCTGGATATCAGCTTCTGGGCCAAATCCTGACTGATGGCGATCCATTCTTGCCTTATTAGCGTTCGGGGTCAGTTGATCACAATTTGTGGACTTCTGATTGTCCACTCGCCTTTCGAGGACTGACCACAGGTTCTCTATCATTAAGACCCATGGAGTTGTCTGGCCACAGATTCAAAATTTCAATGTAATGATCTCCGGCCACTACATTATAACTCTTGCCTTGTGACAGAGCTCCAACGTGCTCCAGGGTCATTGGATAGAAGTTGCTCTTGCAGGATGTGTTGACACCACTGTTTTGGGGCATAATTGTGAGAGAGCTCACTCTCTTGGATGAAAAGTAACCCCACACATGGATGGTTTCAGGATGCTTCACTGTTGGCATGACACAAGACTCATGGTAGCGTTCACCTTGGACAATTGGTTTTCCAAATGTCCCAAACAGCCAAGGGGGGCTTCATTAGAGAAAATAACTTTGCACCAGTCTTCTACTGTCCAATCCTTGTACTTCCTGCTAATTTCAGTCTATCCTTGTTTTTTCTTGGAGAGAAGTGGCTTCTTTGCTACCCTTCTTCGCCTCACTGTACATGCAGATTCACTCACATCCACCTACTGCCAATATTGAGCAGCTCTGCACTGGTGGTGATGCGATTCTGGTGCTGACTCCTCAGGACGAGATGGTCCTGGCACTCTGGGACGTCCGGAAGCCTTTTCACTGCAGTTGAAGCTCTATTCTTCAAGTTTTTGATGATTCTGTAAATGGTTCTTTCAGGTGCAATATTCATTGCAGCATTTTCTTTGCATATGAGGCCATTTTGATGCAAAGCGATAATGGCTCTATGTCTTTCTTTGGAAATAACCAATGCTAACACAAGAACAAGAAATTCTTCCCTCATTTTATAGCAATCATTCTGCTCTTATAATCCAATCAGAATGATAGAGGGATTTCACCTGACTAGTACCATGTGCTGAAGATACACAATGCTTAGTGAAATTATGTTAGCTGATCATTTTGAGCCAGGGCCAAAAAACAGTTACATTTTGGGGTTTTTTGGCCAATGAAGCTTTTTGCTATTTTAAAATGCATGTGATCACTCTGCGCAACAAACAGTGTGAATCAACACAACTGTAGCAAACTTTGCAAAACAAAAAATGTATGTCACTGCCAAAACTTTTGGCCATAACTACGTTTATCCCTTACAGCCTCATTTTCCAATTAAATATGGCGTAAAGTGTATGTGAAACCAGTTTTTTGCCAACTGAAAACAATTAAGAAATACGTATTTTTTTATATTTAATTGACGAATTAACAAAGTCAAGGTACCACCTATAAAACGGGAAGTGTATAACAAGGTAGACTCACAGTACGTTTTGAAAGGCTTTTTTAGCGTAATGTTGAAAGACCGTTTAGGCCTGAAACATAAATAGCAAAAAATGAACATCATCTTCACAATGCTGAAGCTCTTCAAAATGAGTGTGTTATCAAATATTCAAGCAGATGTTATGTCTGTCAGATCACTTCTGTTACTATGTACAATACTGATTATAATCACCATTACAACGATCATACGAACACTTCCGCTATGTCTACACACAATTATATTCAAATCCCATTTCTCAGACACCCATCCACACCATCTTGAACCCCTTGAGCTATTAAAAAAAAGAAAATTGGCTGAAATTACCCATCTCTCCATCTCGTCAACACACCCTACCCTACCATAGTTGAAAAGAGGGCTACAGAGGTCACGTCTGGGCAGGTCTCGGGGGGCCGATGGGGCGAGTCTGTGGGGCACGTCTGAATGGTCCTCGGTCCAGTCCCTATAGCAACAGCCAGGGGTGCAGTGGGTCTCAGACTGGGCCTCCTGACAGATGCACATAATTAATGTGATTATATAGATATGTCAACCCCGTCACCCTCCACTTCATTAAGCCAGACACGGCCTCCAGACGTGTCATCAGCCAGCCCGACGTGGGAAAAAATATCCGTCTGCGTTCAAGATGAGACGTTATTGGGACAGCACCGGGCTGGTGGCGAGACAGAGGATATAGACACAAATGCACCAGCCGATTAATGGTGCATTAATGCTTCAAATATCCCCCTGATAATACGTATGTGAAGAAATTTAAATTTACAATGGTTTTTATGGGCCATGTACAAGTGTACAAATGGTACAGATGTACCATAATAAAAAAAATATTTAATGGAAGAAATATCAGTTCATAGGGTTGAACACAGAAATATTAATTTTATTAGTTCATATGGTCATAAACATCTTAAACCAGTCATATTCTATACCAGCTAATAAACTAGTCAGACATGTGACCATCTGACCCTTTGAATGGGACGTTGTCTGTTCTGACTGTGGAAGTCACATTTTATCAGCCATTAATCATGTCATCTTACAGACACAAAACTACAGGCCTGATCAAACCAATACATATATTTGTGTGGATATATATATATATATATATATATATATATATATATATATCCTCAACAAGATTGCGTTTCATTCATAAACAAATATTTACATACCGGTACATACATACAAAAATTAAATTGTGTCTAAAAAATATGCCATTTGCATGCCACTTGAATAAGATCATGCATTGGTTTGACTATTAATACATTAGTTATTAACATTGCAGAATTAATTAGTAGTGATAGACCAAACTATATGGTCAATATTTGGCCATTTTGAGATTATCAGGATTGTGTAAC